ATCTATAATTAATTAAACAAAATTAATTAGCTTATATAATAATATTTTGTATTTAATTAATTAATAAAGTTTTAATAGTACCTCAGGTACTATTCAAGAAAGCTGGCCTAGATTGAATAATACTACCCCAAATATTAAGAGATTGGAAGATAATACAAATAATTGTTACTAATCAATATATATATTGCTATTAGAATAGCAAACCCAATAAAAAAATCACACTATTAATTATAAAAATTAGGCGATAAATTGCTTGTTAAAAAAAGAAGTGATACCATTTCAGTGGGTACTATATACAGCACTATATGGTAACATGCAAGATTTTATTGTGTGGTATCTCCACCTTTAGCAGGCTTCAAATATCACTCAAATGCCTTTTCTTGTTTTGGTTTCGTCTTTGCAATTTTGGTAGCAGAATTCCAGTCTAATTTATCCATCTGAATCTTCACCTTTAGTGAATTTCAAATATTATTCAAATGCCTTTTTCATTGATTGTGCCTATGCAATTTTAATAGCAGAATCCAAATCTAATTTATCCTCTTGAATTGTCTTCTTCAGCAAATTTTAGATACCACCCAAATGCTTTTTTTTTATTTTTAGCAACACCTATACCTTTCAAAGCAGAATCTATGATTTGTCCATTTTGATTGCAGATTTTAAATACTTTTTTTATCATTAGTTTTCTATAAGTTCATCATAGAATAATCTAAGATTAAATGGTTTATTCGAATTATCACTTTCAGTGGATTCAAATACTCCTCAGATACATCTTTATCATCTTTGCTGTGCCTATATTGTGTAGGCATCAGAATCCAAGTCTGATTTGTCCATTTTATTTTTCATCTTCAGCAGATCTCAAAAGCTTTTTTTTGATTTGGTTGTATACATACAAAATCAATGATTTTCAGTTCGAATTTCCACCTTCAAATACCACTCAAGTGCCCTATTTATCTTTAATTGTGCCTATGAATTTTGGTAGTAGAATCAAAATCTGAGTATGTTATTTCGAATTGTCATTAGATTTCAAGTAACTCAAATGCCTTTCTTTCATTCCTTACCTTTGTCATATATTAAATCGTCCACCCGGATTGCCACCTTTAGCGGGCTTCAAACACCACTCAAATATTCTTGGCTATATTTCTAGAACAGTACTTTCAGCTGTAAATAATATATTATATAGTAGATCTGAATATAATGAGCTCAGATTTTTAAAATTTCAAAATAGTTTGGTAAAGAGAGTGCTATAGATCCTTAGAAAGAATAGTAATTTTCTATAACAAACTTTTCTCTTTCCAGTGCTGTCAGTTCGTTATAGAAAAACTATAATACCTTAGAAGTTATCATTTTATGATATAGTGTATAGACGATTAGATTAATTTCTATATAATTTAAAACAGAATTAGTACATAGATTCAGAAATTATATGGTCCATGTCTTGTGTATTTCAAGAGAATGCTGCATGCCAATAGAATATTATATGTAGTTAAGTGCAAATCATTTTATAAATGTACTGTTTCCACTTATAAAGGTCAATTATATTAATATACCAGATTACAATGCCAATCTGCGTAATTCTGTGATTGCTAAAAACGTTTGTTTAGATAATATTATATAAGCTCTAATTATCTCTATACTGAACAAACTGTTCTGTATTTTTTTTAATTATTTTCAAAAAAATTGTACATTTACAAAAGGCTTTTTAAATAATTAAATTGTGTCAAATTTACTTAATGTATATAGATCATTTTCTCCGGGTAACTCACAGATCACCAATTAAAATTTTTATTTATAATTAAAAGTGTTTTAAACACTTATTTTTTTATATTTTTTAAGTTTTATTTTGTTTTTTATAAAAATTTTATAATTTGATTGATTAATCTATAGTAATCACTTAATTAGATTGATTTAATTTATATAAATTACAAATAAAAATTAAAATTTAGATTGTTAATATCTAATATTTAAAAACTAAATATTAATTTGTATTGCTTAAGTAAAATATAATATAAGATTAATAATCATATACTTTTTTATATATAAATAAATAAATTAAATTTTAAAAATTACTAATTATAGCTCAAGATTTAAATAATAAAGATATGATATTAATATATTTAAAAGTATAATTACAGGTGAAGAATTAAAAAGTACACTTGTCAGAGAATTGTTAATTGAATTAAAAGAAGTAATTTTCACTAAGAATTTAATATAAAAATAGTTTTTTGTTATTTGTACATATGTATATTTTATATGTTTATATATATATATTTATATTTTTAATATATATATATATCTATAGTGTTTTTTTATATATACTTGTTTTTTGTTTAGTTTGTATATATGTCTACATATTTTTAATTTAATTAATAAGTTGAAAGATCTAGTTTAATTCTTTAAAATATTAAATTTAAGTTTTAGTTTTAAAATTATTACTGCAAAATGTAATAGGCTTATTTTATTATAATAGTCTAAAAGGTTACTTATAAAAGAACTTTCACTTATTACATAAATATAGCTCTTTTTCAGAGTTAGTCATTTAAAAATTACAAGTTCTAAAGTAATTATAATATAAACTATATCTGATTGGTTATTTTAAAGCTTGCAATTGTCAAATGATTGTTGTAATTGTCAAATAACTAATTCATAGAGGGGCTATATTTACATAATAAGTGAAAGCTTTTAAATAGTATTATATTTTTTAATAAATAATAATAGTATTTTATTATTTTGTTTAAATATCTTAAGAATCTTAATTATTTTATAATAAAAGATATTAATAATATAGAATATTTAAAAGATAATATAGAAATTATAGCTTTTTTAAATAATAAAAAAATATAGATATTAATAATATAAAATATTTTATAATAAAAGATATTAATAATATAGAATATTTAAAGATGAGTGTTGCTAATTTTCACCCTAGGTGATGTTACCTGATTGTGTAAAAGCCAATCAGCTCTCCGGATCTTGTGTAACCAAAACAAAGCGAGAAAAAGAAAATTCAAAGAAAAGCTTTAATAATCAAAATTTTGTTATGAAAATCATGCTTCGACTTCTAAGCAAAAGTTTATAGCTCCAAATTTTAAGCCCTCTTACTCCAACCCAAGGCTAACCCTAACCCCTAACCGTAAATTATTTTCTTTTAATAAAAATTTTATAATATTGGGTGATATCACCACGGGTGAAAATTAGTTATAACCTTAAAAGATAATATAGAAATTATAGCTTTTTTAAATAATAAAAAATATAGATATTAATAATATAGTATTTATAGCTTTTTTAAATAATAAAATTCTGAGTACCAAGCTAGAAGTACCTTGTTGAATAATTAAAAAGTGATTAATAACATATACGAAAAAGTTTAGGTGCGCACATAAAACATGCACAATAAAGTCATCTGATTGAGCAATAATAATGGAAAAAAATCCATAAGCCGTGTTTTTGTTGACAGGACCCCATATGGTAAAAAAAATCTAAAATTTAATTATACAGTTGTAAGCAATTCAATCATTGATCACAGTTTTTAGAATCCATTTTCACCATATTATTTTTAATGTTTATAATTTAATACTATTAATAAGTGCATCAATTATTATTATACTAATTCAAAGCTAAAATGTTCTTCCAATATAATACAAATGGTATTTGACTTATCCGTGAACATATTAAAAGCAAATGTTATTGCGTAGTAATGAACTTGGTTAAAATAAATACTTATACTTTATCATCATTGAAGGCAGAATGACGCTTCTAATTATAACCTCTGTCATATGAACAAATCTTTAACATCTTCACTTTTTAAGTGCCATGTTAATAAGGTGTAATTATTCTGTTCTTTACAGAAAAAGCAAAATTTTTTTTATTTACAATAAAATTATTAAAATTTCATTTTATAATAATTTTGTACAGTAATAATTTTACAATAACTTTGTATTGATCTTATATAGAAATCTTTTAATAATTAAACTATAGAATTTTAATATCATAATAAAATATTCTATCATCATTATTTAAGATTATATAAAGAAAATTTGCATGTTTCTGTAAAGTATAAGGCGGAATATCAGGTAAGTATATTGAGAAACGTCGGATAATCGTTTCATATTGATTCAATACTCTAGGGCTTCTAACACTTTAGTCATTTCCTTTTGAACCATTTTGAGTTTTTCTTCCAACAATTTTTTCTCGGCTTCTTATAGTTTTATTTTTTCTTCATATTGTTGCTTTTGTAAATCGAGTTCTCGTTGCATCTTTTCTTTGATGACTCTAACTTTCTCTTCAGTTTTTTCTGATGCAGTGTCATCAAAATTGTCACTTAGACTATCAGAACAAACCTTTTTAGCATTTTGGATCTTTCTTAAATCATCCATGCGTCTCTGAGGATCTTCATCTGACAAAGAGCTAAGAACTGGACCGCCGGTATAGTTCAAATAGTTAAGTGCCATTTCTCTTCTTGCATAATGTCAATCACTGACATGGTGTATGAATTGATTTGCAAAGAAGGTTTACGTTCACTTCTAACATCTTCAGGATTACTAAACCTGAATACATGAAAATTTCCAAGGGTGATATAAAATTCCGATTTCAACTTCTTTGGCCTATTTATTCGCATGCCATTAACCAAAGTTTTGCTTTCTGGAGATGGGTGCAATGTCACCACTCCATTTTCATTATCAAAATGGCAATGGTTGTCTAATATTTCTTTACCAGCTAGACGTATATCAGATGGCGT